AGTCGCCGGAGAAGAGTGGTGATCGGAAAGGTCGCCGGAATATCCCCGGAGGTGTAGGGGTGGTGGAGGTGGGGGTAGGTTAATTATTTTATAGTAGAATTAAATATTAATAATAAATTAATTTAGTAATTATTATTTTATAATTAAAAATTTTAAAAAAACCTGAATTTTGAAATTTGAAACATGTTTTGGGATTTTTGAAATAGGTAAAAGTAAAAGCATGATTTATGTAATCTTCCCATTTAATATCCACCGTTGATTCGGAAAAGGCTGGGCCCTAGGGTGGCCCTTGGGTTCTGCGATAGCCAAGAGGCCCAGGGTTAGGCAGTGTGGACAAGTCCAATTAGGAAATGAGAAGTTCAAGTTCCATTCTTATTTTTCATTTTATTTTTAAATTTTCATTATATTTGCAAAATAAATAATTAAATTGGACAGTAAAATAGAGATATTTTAATTCTTGCACGACCCCAAAAATCTCCTATAGGGAGGGAGATGAGAAGGGCTACTCCTGATCTCACTCCGTCCTATTATCATCTCCATCACTGAGCCGTGAAAGAAATTCTTCACAATTCAAGCACGAAAATGCAATTATTGAAACGGGCTCTACCACTGAAGTAATAGTCATGCGATCCTTCCACTGAGAACCTGCACATCAAAAGCGTGAGAAACCCAACTACTTGATCCCTTTTTTATATTCCATGACACTAAAAAAATTTATTTCAATAAAACAAATTTAAGGAATTAAACATTCTATAAGCAAATTTACGATATCGTCAATATAATGAGGTAAATTATGTAGTTAGTTCCAACCATGAAATTTCAGATTTTAAATTTGCAAAGTTTTTTTTTCAAATTTTAACTCGACTATTGCATGTGTCATTGTTATGAATTATATGTTCGGGTGCAAAAATTGATGGACTATACGTACAAATGTTGATAATAGTTAAATAAGTATATCGTGTTATGAAACTTGGAGTGCACATCATAATTCGAAATTTGAACTTTTATTTTAACAAGCGATCTTAAATTGCCAAAAAATTAAAATAAAAAAAAAAACCCTTTTTGTTAGGCAAATGGAAGTCCCATTGCAACTTGGACCACTTTTAGATATATCATTGCAATTTGTTACGCAAGTGGAAGTCTCATTGCAATTTGTTAGGCAAGTTGTACATGTAGCATGGTGGTTGAACGTGGGTGTCTTTAATTTATAACCTGAGTTTGTTTTATGAAAGTATAGGGTGGAGTATCTATTTTCTACATCATTTATTGATTATTTATTTATTTATTAAATATTATATAAATTTAAATATGAAAAATAGTAAAAGTAAAAGTATTAAGAGTCGAACAGTAGATCATGTTCCCGTGCCGGTCCCAATTTTCCGGCAAGAGATGGATGAGACATTGCCTCTCTCCCTAGTTAATCGCTACCGATACTTATTCCGGGTCAGAATAGGCTAGGCAGCTCAAGTTTGGAAGGATGGAATCCAACTTCACATACCCATAAGTTAGCTCTTGTTTGACAATCATTATTTTCAATCACCCTGCTACATGTACAACTATAGTTGTCAACAAAAGTTGTCAGCCATGTGTGACAAAATCTATACCATCCATTTTAAAAACTGTTTTTTAAATCAATCATACAGATCTTGACAAAACATAGATTGTCAACAAAAGTTGTCAACAATCATTGTATACTTAGTTTTATTCTATTTTCAAATTCTTTTTTCTACATGATCATTTTAAATCACACATTCACACAATAAAATATTATGTACGTAAATACACAAAAATTTCCTATTTTTTTAACCACGTACTATCTTAAACATCACTATGCAAATCTCTATTTTCCTCAAATGATAATTGTCAAACATGAGCTTAATTTTTCTTATATTAAAATCTCAAAGGATTATTATATTCACACCACCATATTTTAAAATGTACGACATTTTGATTTCATTAAATATTTCTAAATTTTACTTATTATCACATTTATATCTCAAACTTTTTTTATTATATTATTCTAATTTTTCATTAATTAGCATGTATTGTACCCGTTTAAAAAAAATTAAGTTTTTGAAAATTCATTTTATTTCCCCCATTCATTAAAGTGAGACAATAATATATTTATTAATTTTTAAAATTTTTTATTTATTTTTAAAAGTTAATTTATTCAAATATATTTGGCTAGCACAAAGTGAAGGTTAGAGTAAAGTCTGCAAAAAGTTGAAAGGTTAGGGACCGCTACTGCAATTATTCCTATTTTTTATGTTATTTGAAAATAGGAGGGGGAATATATTTTTTTATGTTATCTTAACAAAATTTTTGAACGCAGACTATCATTATGAATAAGATGTACTTATTTATTAAAAGTTGAAATGACAGGTTAGATTACTTTGCCCTTACAATAGTGGTGGTCCACTGGCTTCCACAACTTCAAAACGCAGTCGGAGCACTTTCCAAGCTAACTCGGACGATGTTAGGATCAGTCTATCGATCAATCCGTCGGTTTTAGAGGTCAACAGTCACCAATTCAATTTCACTCGAGCAATTACTTTTATGAATATGATTATAACTAATGATAAATATCATAGCAATCACAAACTACCATAAATGATTGTGCATTAATTCCTCAACTAATTCATTCAAACCCAAAAGAGAAAGCACAACACAAAAAGAACCAAAAAGAAAAAGTTACACAGCTATAACACAGAACAAATAACATTTTGATTATCACTTTCTACACTGTATAGAGAATCCACTTCCCCCCACCTCATCCCCACCCAGTCTAGTTACCAGAAATGGCAGCACCTCCGTCCACGGTGGTGGTGACACTGCTATTCTTTCTGTGCACCACCACCACTAGGCCACCCTTTTTGGTGGTGGTTCGGTGGACCACACACCACTCCTCAGACGCCAGTGACCAGGCTATGCTAGCAGGTTTAAACTTTGCCTGTGCAGCTGGGGCAGATTGTGCACCCCTTCAATCTTCTGGGCTATGCTATTTGCCCAACACAATTCAAGCCCATGCCTCCTATGCCTACAACAGTTACTACCAGCGCAGGAACAATGACCCTGCCTCCTGTTACTTTTCTGGCACTGCCACCATCGCAAAAACTGACCCCAGTATGTACCACCTCTCTTGTTTTTTGCGTAAGGTTATTGGAAATAAAAATCAGTAGGCGTAGTCGAAAGTCTAGGTTGTCACTCAGCAAAACTTATAGTTAGGCATGCTATAGATCAGTGTAAGTGCATGTTTGGTGATTTTTTCTTTTTCTTATTTTGATATGGGATTTTTGTATTCAGGTTATGGATCCTGTGTTTATCCATCATCTCCTAGGTATGTTCTTGAATCTTCTTTATCATACTGTGGTGGTTTCTATTGTTATCTTTTACTACTTTCCCAAAGTTCCTTTTTTTCCAACAAGAAAAATGGAGGATATGCTTTTGACTTCAATTATAACTTATTTTATTATCCTGTCAAATTACTTGAATCTTATGTCCTTAAACTGCTTAGGAATTTGTTTGCTCATTTAGCACAAGATTTTAATAATATAAAGATTTATATATGGCATGCTTGGTAGTTAGGGAGGATTGAACGATAAGCAGTATTATAGAAAAATAAGTTAAATTTGTTTTCATTATATTGTCTAATCTAGTACTGAATATCAAACATTCAGCAACAAGACGGGACTGGAAAATGAGATCTTCATCCCTTGCGTCTTTCTTTCATTTAGAATTATCAAACATTCTTGTGTGGCCCATGAAAAATGAACATTACATCACAAAGAGGAGGATGTTGACCTGAACACATATGCCTAAATTATAATCAGCTATCAATGAAGCAGTTTATTTTGTTGGTACTTAATTTTTCACAACAGCATTCCTACATTCTTATGCCCTGGATTTTTCAATTTTCCAGCACGGCAGGAGGGTCAGTTGGACCAGGAGGGATGTCAGTACCAGGAACGCCGGCTATAAGTGCAACACCTCCACCACCAGGAACCACCACTGCACCTCTGCTCGGCGCTGGAGGATTAACACCGGACATGGGAACTGCAGACCCCGACTCACCGAAATCATCTAATGCTTCCCCAAACTTGTCAATAAACGCAATCTTGTTCCCAGTATATTTCTTCATTCTATCATTTACATTCCAAACCATGTAGAGTCAAGAAGCATAGTAACTAAATTTATTGTGAAAACTAGGCTTATATGCAGTACTCAACAAGATTCAGCAATATAACGCCATCATCTTGATTTCATTAATATGATTCGACATTTTATAGTCTACCTCACCAAATCACGTAGACTTCTGCCATTCAGGTTTAAATGGATTTCTTTTACATGAGATGGTTCGACAGTTAATCTTTTACACGAACTTAGAGAACATGGGAAAATGTGTTCGGTTCAAGGTAAACTTCAAGTTTTTAATCAGGTATGATGTTGATATCAAAAAAGAATAAGATACATCGAAGGGGACAAAAATAACGGAGGAGATGAATATGTAGAAGGATGAAGACTTGAACACGAAAAAATGTATCATCAAACGATATTTGCCTCCTCCACAATGCTTCTAAGGATTGAAATTGGCAAATAGTTTGTAGGATTAATCAAGTCTAATTGAAGAACACCAAAAGCAAATGTTTCTTCAAGGTGAACAAGTGGAAAATGAAAATTTGATTATTTAAAGTGACAAAATTTCTTCAACAAAAATTTTGAAAAAAATCCAGTCAACGGTCGTATAGGCTATACATAGTTATAGCCCCTAGCGCCCCAAAATTCCTTGTTGGCGCCTATGCGACCACATGCCTATATGGCCTATGCGGTCGCATGTGCCATTTTTATGGCGTCAATAGATTTTTTCTTCCTTTTTTCAATTTATCCATCCACGATCCTTTTAATTCATCCAACCACAATTTTGAACAAAAAAATTCCAACAGACGTAGCATCAACGAAAAATTATTTTATTCTCACTATATCATTGGGATCTCTCATACACAGAGCCGGCCACTAGGTAAATCCCTGAGATTGACAGAGAAAATCGGATGAATTACTAACGGTTAAAAGAATAAGAAAATACGACAGCATTTAAGTTAGAAGCAATCGAGCAATGCCTTCCAAGTGAAAATCGAAAATACTAGCAATTCCATTGAAAAGTTAATTCTTCGGACTCGTATATTTCATAATTCTATAGTTTTCCCTTTCGTATGACAACAATTATACACATTGACTTTTTCTTGAAGGCTAGTGAAATGGCATGTGATCGATTCAGTTAGTGAATATCTATTTACAGTCATAGCATACATTTTTTGGCTCAACTGGACATCTTTTGGGCTGCCTTACTATGTAAATCTGATCTCCTGCTTTGGTGTGCATATCCCGATTCCGATGCCATGTCCAAAGAGCGTCTCATTTTTAACCTGCAAGTCGAATACAAAAGAAAGTACTCGTGCCGCCCTTAATTCATTCACAAAACAAGTCATGCTACATGTTACGTGAAAATCCTACAAGCTTACGTGTTCGTTGTACAAGTAATAATCGTGATGAGTGAGTTATCGTCATACGGGAAATAAGGCTCAATTTTAGTGTATTCGGTATATTTAAATTCGCAAATGTAACAAAAGATGATTGATTTTTAGTTGACTACGTTCTATAACGACGAAATTAATAAAAAAAATGGTTTTAA